GCACACGCCGTGCGTTCTCCCGGTGTCCCTTCTGCCGTGCGAGTGAAGCGGGCTGTACTTCGGGCGGGTCTGCGGCGCGGTGAAGGCTCCGGGCCTCTTTGCCCCGCACTTGCTCTGCAGAAGGCGGCAGTGATGCTCCTCGTTACCTTCACGCCTGGAGACGTGACCAGGAAGGACAGGAGCTGAAGGGGGGATGCCGCCTTCAGCCCCGGGCAGCCGTCTCCCGAGGCTGCCGGTAGGTACCGTGCGATGACATTTCCCGTGACAGCAGTGATTTTATGTGTCCATGAAGAATTGGACAGGGACCACCGGCGAGCTGAGATGGCTGCCAGTAATGGTAGTAACAACTTTCCATCCCTACTGATTTGGCTGAGCCCCAGCCGGTGACGGGGAGGAGCAGGGCGTGCTCCCGTCTCCAGGCTCCGAGCTATCCAATACGCCGGGCTTCCCTTCGTTTCCTAGGTGTACGGTTTTTCCTGTGGTACCTCAGTTTCAAAACTCTTAACAGCGCTTTTTAGACGGAGAGTCTGACTGGTGCTTTTCTCCCAGGATGACCCTTTACCCAGCAGCGCTGTGACTGGGGGAACAAGTTTGCGATTCAGCACACCTTGATCAGCGAAAGTTTTGAAAAAGCAGACGGAGCTGGTGCACCAGTGCGTGATCAAATTGGCCAGTTTTTCTTTTCAGGGATTTATGCGCACACTTGTTTGTTTAATCACGTCTAATTTAAGGACACGCACCATGCGTTTTGCTTTGATCTATAACTTTCACAACATTCAGAAAATGCCAGAGGAAAAGCCAATGAATCTCAGCTTTTCTCACCTGGTTTCGTGTCTTACCACACATTCACACAGCTTTGATGGGAAGCTGTAACTGAAGCTACATTTGCACGGAAAAAGGTCACTTTGAAAGCTTTGCAGCACCTTTTAACAAACCTGACCTGCATGTCAAGTAGCTGACAGCACTTGAGATGGGTTGAGTTCCTTCGGAGCTCAGGTTAGACTGTGACCCTCTCATAGGCTTTCCCTGCACACGTTTCCCTGTCACAAACCATGGCCCAGCGTTTCCCTTCCAGGCTGTGCCTGCATCTCCTGGATGTACGTCAGGAAAGAGGAAAAAGCTTGGAATATCTTCCATTTTTAGGTTTTGTTCAGTGTGACGTACTGTTCCAGACCTTTGTTGGCCTGAGGGAACTGGGAAATACTCCATGCCTCACATCATGAAGAGTATTTTACCGGCTCCTTACATTTTGTGCCGTAGGCAATCGCTGTTTGTCAGGTGAAGTCTGCTGGGAGCTTGGCTAATGCACAGCAGAAATTTGAAACAGTTGCCTTTCCTAGCAGGTATTACAGATTTACCGAGTATATCCTCTCATTTTCACAGGCCCGTGTCTCTCCAGGGAAAGGGCTTGCCAGAGAAACAAACCAAGAAAAATAACTGGTTTATCTCCCCTGCAGCCAGCGTGGGTTCCTGGTGGCCGTGCACCGGGACGGCAGAGGGGCGTGGAGTGCTGTGCAGGACGGAGGCTCCTGCGGGTGCTGGTGACAGTAAGTATCCAGCACCAAACCGGAGCACCCCAGAGGTTTACAACCATGTGGATTCTGGAGAAAGACCTTATTAAATCCAGTGTCCGGCCCTTTTTTTTGTATTGTGTTTAATTTCCTCTTTCTTGTTGTCTTTTTCCTCTGCCCATCCTTTGCCACGCGTTTCTTCTGTCTCTCCTCCTCTTCTCCTTTTCCGTGTTCCAGTCTTTTTTCCCTGTGGCCCTTTCCTCCTCTAATGTTTGCCTACCTTGGGCTGGGCCTCTCCCGCAGCCCCTGCCAGGCCGCCGGTTCCTGCCGCACTAAATCAGTCTGCCCGGAGTCAATGGCTCCTCTCAGGCTCTCACAGGAGGTGCAAATCCAGGGGGGCGGATGAAGCACAGCGACGCGCAGGCAGAGCGGCCGAGTAGCCAGAAGGCTTCAAGAGCTAAAACTCGAGTGGGTTCAGATTTTTTTTTCTTGCTTTGAGTTGCTCAGAGTTTATGCTGAGTTCTTTGAGTATGGCATTTCCCATTTGTTTTCTTCTGCTTCCCTACTACCCTCCCTTCAGCTATGCTCATGCATGTCAGTTTTTATATAGTCTGCCTTGCCTGTGGTTTTCTAATATTTGAGGGGGTTTTGCTTTGCAATATTTGTGCACTGAGAGGCACTTTGCTGTGTAGGTACGCTGTGTTTTCCTCTGGCTGTTGTCAAGGTGTTGCAGAGGTTCCTGTTGTGTGAAAACAGAAGGGGATGCGCGAGCCTGCTACCCTACAGGGAAACAGAAGGAAAAATGATGTAGTATCCATTGTGCTCATTGCTCCTTCAGTGTGTGAACTGCACTGCTTTACAGGTACACCTTACGCAGATCTAACGGACATAGCAGCACAACAGGGGCAAGCAGCATCCTTGCCACTGGTCAGCCTGTTCCTGCT